CTTCCTCAAGAAAGGAGTTATGCTCAGTGTCATCTTTTTAAAAGTTCCCGTGTCGTTTCCTTCAGTGGTTCTTGGTGCAGCGCCCCCTCAGGCGAGGAGGGGAACAGGTTGCTCAGAAGGTTCTGTTGGTTGGACCCAGAGCAGAGTGGAAGAGAACCACAGCAGCTGGAGATGGAACAAATGTTGCAACACGTACCCCAGCTTGCTCCTGTTCTGACCTTTGACCTGTCTGTCTGCAGGCGTGGACCAACATGGTTCTGACTCTCCTGAACCAGGTCCTGCTCCTGTCGGACTCCACCTTCCTGGCGCTCCAGCCGGCGCTCTACCCGTGCCTCAGCCAGCTCTCCTGCCACGTCACCGACGCGCGGGTCCGCCATGCGCTGCGCGCGAGTGGCTCGGCCGGATCGGCAGACTGTATGACATCATCATGTGACATCACAGGGGTGGACGAGGTGTGGCTGAGTGAAGGACACACGGCGAGGGCGTTGAGAGAAAGAAATGACCCTTTCAGAGAGAGACGACTGAGGAACTGCTGATTAAATGAATGAAGTTTGTAAAGAGTTGTTTGTACGATGGAGAGCATTTAAATATAAATGTGCCATTTTTGCTCTGGTTCCTTGTTAATGTCTGATTTTCTGAATGGCTTTTTATTTCATAATATTCAGAGCTCTTCTGTTTTTGCTGGTACATTTTCCTGGTCATCTTGATGCCGTCTGTGTTGTGTTGCTGATTCATATTTATTGTCATATTGTGATGCTTCCTTGTGCATCGCAGCATTCCTCTGACTTTTTCCGCCTTTTATTACGTATTTTGTAGATTTCTCAAAGTTGCAGCAGTCAATAGAAATGTGGATTCATGTTGCTGCTGCTGAAACAGAGAAAACAGCTTATTTGCTTTAAAACAAAAATGATAAAATAATATTTAAAAAAATCCACTGGGTGCCTTTGGGGGAGGATTTAATAAGCTGTAGCTTATCATCATTTCTGTTTTTAGTCAGTTACCAGGAAGTTTCCGCTTCAACTAAGATCCAGCTTCAGTCTTTGGACCACAAACATTTCATTTCAGAATCAAGCAGGCGACTTATTGTGGATTTAATCCGATTGTGTTTGGTTGTCTCTTTTCTAGCTTCGGCTCTTTGTGTCTGTCTGTAACGCTGAATGTCTCTGGAGGTATTTACTTAAACCAAATACAACATGAATCCGTACGGATTATGGACTCTTCTTGAATTCTGCAATGTTTTTACGCTTCTTCTCTCACTGTGAAGATCATTTTGTTTGACATGTGAGAAATGTGCAGCTGGTTACTGTTACTGCTGTCACTGTTTGTTCCTGGTTTGTCTGCAGCTGAATCTCTGAGGGCTGAAACCAAAAGCTGCAGGTTAACAGAATCTCCTGAAACGTGTTCAGCATCTTCTGTTCCTGAATGTCTTCATTTAAAATACAACCAGATAACGCTAAATGGTCCAAGCGCAGTCTTGTCTTCTTTATAAAGGAGTAAAATGTGGGTCCAAGACAGAGATGATTATTGAAAATGATGCTCTGTAGTGTGAATCTGGAGTTAAAAGTTTGTGTCCAGGATGTGTGGGATCTGCAGAGATGTTTTTCCTGCCCATGTTAAGACGGCTCTGTCCCAGTAAAGATCAGGCAGTTTTAGCTCAGTTTGGTCTTGGTGTGCTGCCATGGGGCCATGTGTTGATGTTGGATCATGAGAAGAGTTGGAAAGTTGGAAACTCACCGGTCACACCATCTGACCTCTTCATGTCCACAGCTGGCTGCCAGCTCTCAGCTCCTGTAACGTCCTCAGTGGTCTGCACACATTGTGTCCAACATCGTGTCCAGCATCGAGTCCATTGTGACTCCTTTAGTATATGATGGGCTCTACTGGGACTAGTTTCCACAATGACAACTTACACCAAAATCTGAGGCCCTCACATCATTGTTGGTGTTGAGGAGGAAGACGGTCAATCAGAGACTCATAACAACAATCACAGTTCAACTCTGAAAAAATAACTTGCATCTTTCTGTCCTTGCCTGGATGTTTCCTTCTAACATCATTTTCTTGCATTTGTATCCTTGAAATTGGGTTTTGTAAATTTGCCCAGACGGCCGGTTTTAATCCAGGGTGTCTCTGGTCTCTTAGTAAAGACTAGAGACAGTTGAGACAATCAGCCTCTGCTCATCCTTTCACCGTCTGCTCTCCACACAACACGCTGTGACCTCATTTTTTGATTTGGATCCAACTGTTCCCACAAGCTGCATAGAATAGTTTCACAAGATAAGGCTACAGAGAAAACTACTCTAAGCTGGAGCAGCGCTGACCTCCATTAACACCAAAGTCCACTTTAGGATAGATTACGACAGAGGCGTGCTGCCCTGATGCGAGCGGCATATTGAGGACAGGAAGGCCAGTCGCTTTCTGATTCTCCTCGGGAGATTTACTCTTTTCACTCACTTCATCAGTTTGTCCCGTTCATTTCTAAGTACTTTCTCATTCTTCATTTGCTGCATTTGTTCCAGTTTTCTCTGACTGGTAAAGGCTCAAACCCAACCGATTGGTGTCAAGTCAGTTTTATTGGGCTGTTTGTCCAAACCATCCACCTTCAACTATTTATTTCAGAATCAGTTTATAATTTGGATTCCTTTTATTTCGAAAACTAAAACTAATTTTGAATGTAAAAACAATGTGTGGCTCTCTTACTATAATATCTCCAGAAGAAGTTCGTCTTACCCGGTAAAACTCCAGTTAGCATTGAGACGCCTTGTTGAGTCCGACAGACTCTCTGACTCCCTCTGATGTTTTGCAACTAAAATCAAATCAAGTGTCTGGAGAAATAACTGCAGGATGAAGAACATTTCAGGGACCTTACAGGTATTTGGTGTTTGTCCAAAAACCACAGTTAGACTTAACAGAACATATAAAACATAATGGTTAGCTGATGTTAATAAATTAGAGACTTATAAAAAAGTTTTGTTGAGCATCTGAGTGAAAGTGATCACAAAGTGTTTCACTGCATAAATTGCTTTTCATCACCAAAAGCCATGAAACCATCTAACTGACCTGCAAGGATGAAAAATCCATCCGTCTGTTCCTGTGATTACAGACTGAACAACAGCAGTCAGCAGGATGTTTTCTTTGTCTCTCCGTCTCTTTCTGTCCCTGCCAGTGTCCCTGACCTGTCCTAATTCCAGCTGTCTGAGGGCGAGCAGCAAGTGGACAGATGTTGTGAGCCATCAGTGTGATCAGCAGTGAACAGAAAGGATTTAGTTGGTGTTAAGTCCATGACTAAAATAAAGCTGTTGACTAATGTGTCTGTGTCACGCAAACATTCATCACAAACTGATTTTCCTTCCTCCTGCTTCACCTGATTTTTATTTTTTAAATAAGCCAGGATATTTGTTTGTGCTCTTCTGAGTTTTTTTAGTTAAATGTGTGGATTTCACACATTTAACCTAAAGCTTTGGCTGGAAGCTTCAGATCTTGTGAATGCCCCAAACTGAACATCTGTCCAAACATCATCTGTCCATTTTATCTGCAAAATTATCAGCATTTTGCTTGGAAAGCTAATTTTAACTCTTCCTGTAATAAATAGAGTCATCAGTAGTTTGGTGACTTCAGTGACAGATTAGTGGAACTGAAAAAGCAAAGTCTGACCTCATCTGCTTTCATTGAATGGAGATCAGACTTTAGTGTTGCTGGGCAGATGCAGCAAACTGTTTCATGATTGGCTGGGTTGTTGATAGATGATGGTTCTGATTACAGGAAGGAAATCTGTCTGGTAATCGAGGAGCAGTTGGAGCTGACCTGGTGTTTGACACGGCCAGACAAAGTATTTATGTGACCCAGACATGTGGCACAGTTTCTGAAGTGGACGGTTCCGGTACTGAGGGGTCAGAAACATCCTGAACCAACCAAACTGGTATTTTGAGTCTTTCTAATCCACACCATGTTTGTAATCTTTTAATCTCATCCAATAAAGAAAGAAAAACTTTATTTCTGGATTTCTATAAATCTACAGCTGAAAGAATAAAGTTTTATGAGGTGCAGAAAGTAGTAAGAGATTTTTTGTCTTGTTCTGTATTTGGAAATATAAGAATAATTAACATTTTTTATTCAAATATTTCAGCAAGATTCTTTAAATTCCCCTCACATCCGTCCCTCCTTTTGAGATCAGGTCACATCATTTCTTTCTCCAGCGACGCTGGAGGTTGGATGATTCCAAACTGTTCCTGTCCTGAAGGAAAACTACTCCTTCACTGAGTCCTTCTGACCTCTGCAGTGTCTTTTCCTGTGATTGTATCGGAGGATGAGGACCAGGAGTCTCCAGACGTTGCTCCCGATGCCCAGATCCAGTTTTATTCATGATCACTGGAACTCAGACAGATCAGGACAGAGAACATGGATGGAGCTGAAAGCTAAAGCTGCATCATCATTCACAACACGGCATCCTTTTACAGAAAAAAGTTTTGATCAAACAGTCCATCAGGTTCAGTTCATTACTCAAAGTAGTTTTCAATTGAAGGTTTTGGTCTCAAACAGCAGTCAGTCCTTAAGGACCTGCAACCTTCACATGACTTTCTGCTCCAGCACACTGGAGTCCAATATGAGCTCATCAGCAGAGTGACTGCATGCCAGTGAGACAGTTTGTGATAAAGATCAAGTGTGGAGGATAAAGGACACATTTAAAAGTTGTAGGACTGATCTAAGGAAACCCAGCAGGTTGATTGAGTCATTGATTTGCAGCATTCACTGCTGGACATAGTGACAGACACCAGCGTTGTGTCCTTGACTTTGCAGCAGTTCCTCATACCAAGCATGCATGTAGCGATGGTAGAGAGGAAAGATTCCCCTTGAACAGGCAGAAACCTCCAGCAGAACCAGAACCATCGAGTTTTCAGCTCAACCAGTTTGAACAAACTGGTTTTAACAAAGATCCTAAAAAATCCACATTAAAGTTGTTTGTTTTGATTCAAATCTGCTTTTCTGTTACAGGACTGGATTATTTCTGGACTTTCTGCAATTCAAAACATCATATTTTTGTTTAAAGTGGATCATTTGCATTGATTGATCAGGATGAAACTTGAATTGAATCCAGATTATCTGCCCATCAGAACCAGTGACGACTGCACCTCTCCTCTCCTGGATGCTCTCTCTCTGTCTGCTGCCCTCATTTCTCTCCTCCCACTCATCACCGTTTATTTCAGCCTGATCACTTCGCCGCTGCTCGCAGTGAAACCCTCCCAGCTGAGAGCAGACGCCTTCTCCACTGTGTCTCTTTGCTCCACCTTTACTTTCCGCTTGCTGTGGCCTCTGGTTTCAGGACTTTGGATCCTCCTCCAGCCCACCATGCGGTCTCTGCTGGAGAGCAGCTGGTTGAGGTTTGGACCTGCAGGTCGGGACTCTCTGGACTGGTCCACTGTCCCATCACCGCTGCCGTCCACTGACAGACAGGCTACGGTGAGTCCATGCAGTCAGAGCGATGCACTGACTGCTGCTTCTGCTTTACACTGGTGGTGTGTTTAAATGAAAAAATCCTAATGAACCACAAGTAAGAATTTAAGAGTTTATTTTCCAGGAAAGAAAAATTCTCCAATTTAAATCCAAAGATTGAAACCTTTTACTGCTGCTGTTTTCCTGTAGAGCAACGTTTCTCATCTGAATGATTTGTTTCATCTGTTTGGTTCTGGTTTCAGAAAATCAAGGCAGCAGAATGAGCAGACACATTTACTTTAAAAATACATATATCATAGTCAAATTTCCACATAAAGTATCTCCTATGTTAAATGTAACAGTTAATTAGGCTGTTATTGGATTACATTACTCTGGAACATTGAAACAAATTAGTTTTTACATTTATATTTATATGTCCTAAACTTTATCCTAAACAATTTATATTTTAAGAAGTAAATTATTCTCTTTCTTAGATTGTAAAAATCATTTTATAATTAAAACATTTTTTAAAACATAATTTAGACAAATACCTACAGATTTACTCAACATCAAGACAAGGATTTATTTTTCTACCAACCAGAACACCATCAATATTTAAATCAATTAGGAAATCATAAAGAAGAACAGATGTTCTACTTGTAATCCTCCCAGTTTACATCTGCAGATTAACGTCTAAAGAGGACAAAGTAAATCTGTGACTTACAGCGCCCTCTAGCGGCCAGATGCTGTCTCTCTATCAGACAGATGAATGTATGTATGCATGGACATGTGTGTATTTACGTGTGTGTGCATGATGTGATTGTTTTCTGGTCCTAACTGTGTCTGGCTCTTAGGGTCAAGGTTCAGGTGAAGCCATCATCAGCACCAGATCCATCACCTACATCGCCATAGGAACGGCTTCCTTCCTCGTCCTTTTTGTGAGCATCCTTGGCTTTCTGATCTGTCGGCGCCGGCGGAGCTTCCGCCTGGACGGGAAGCTGGATCTGGCCAACGTGATCGCCCTGGAGGATCTGCAGGACCCGGAGAGGAACTGCGAGCTGCTGTCCTCCCTGCGCCGCAGCCAGTTTCCCAGCAGCAGCTCTGAACAGGATGTGTCAGATGGCGTGTTCCTCATGGTCTACCTGCCCCCCCCTATGAGCAAACCCTCACCAGGATCGCCAGGGCGGCCAGCACAAGCAGCTCCAAGGACGTGGAGCTGCTGCCATCCAGTCCTGGACCAGAGACGGGAGAGACAGAGAAAGAAGGGATGGGAATGAATGATGAAATCGTCCTGAAGGAAGAAAATATGACTGAATAAATGTGAAATAAATAAGAGGACAATAAAAGACAGAAATCAACAATAAAAGAGATTCATTATACAAATTATTTCTTCTCTCTAATGCCTCTTGGTGAGCCAGACTTCTTCAGGAAGGTCACATGGTAGAAGAAGAGGTCACTGCTCCTGTGCATTGAACATAATTCGGCTGATTCAGAACACACCATCAGGACATCGATCCGTCGATCAGTCGATCAGTTGATCCATCAATCCATCGATCCATCAATTCATCGATCCGTCGATCCATCGATTCGTCGATCCGTCGAACTATCAATTCATAGATCAGTCGATCCATCGATCCATCGATCCGTCAATCCGTCAATCCATCGATTCGTCGACCGTCGATTCATCGATTCATCGATCCATCGATCCATCGATCCGTCAATCCGTCAATCCATCGATTCGTTGATCCGTCGATCCATCAATTCATCGATCCATCAATTCATCGATTCGTCGATCCATCAATTTATCGATCCATCGATCAGTCGATCCATCGATCCATCGATCCATCGATTCATTCGCTGTTGAAAGGGACACTGCCACGGTTTCCCTTTAGATGACAATTTAAAAACACACAAACAGAACCATGAACTAGAACTTCCTCCCTCTGTAGCCGAACTGAACCCAGGAGATATTTACAGGTTAAAAAGTTGAAACATTCCTCATTCAAAAACACCAGCAGAAAAATCCCTGCTTGTTTTACATTAAGGCTTGTAAAAATGTAAATCTGCACAAAAGAGATTCTATTTTTTACATTTCTGGTTTATCTGTTTTATTAGCTGTAGCACGGTTGTGTTTTTTACCTTTGAACTTTCCTGCTCTTGTGTTTGAACAGAACCAGCTGGACTGAATGTTACAGATCAAGGTGATTATTTGTATCCTGTCTTTGAAGACTAATAATAAAGAAAGCTTAAAGCATGTGGTAGCATCTCATTTATTCAGCTTAAGTTTCATGGCATTGAAATGAAACAAGGACACAAAAAAAACAGCGACTGTAAAACAAAAATGACGTTTAATGGTTAAAATAAGGACAACAGAAGACAACAGGAAATGGAGCAGAAACATTCAGGGCTGAACAAAGAAAAACAAGAAGCTTTAATATTAACAAAATGATGGCGAATGACATTTGAGTCGTGTTTTGATGATGCGGGCGATGATGTCCAAAAAGATCAACAACATTCGGCTCAGAAGGGAAAACATCTGATAGCAGCAAGAAGAGACAAAGTCATGGGGAGATTTCAATCAGTTTCTGTCAGTCATCTTATTTCCATCAACATTTCTGTGCACCTTTTGGAGTATTGCACAGGTAAAGTTGATGGAAAAAGGAAAATTTGAAGTAATTTCCTCAGTTTTTTACGTGTTTATGCTGAGGTGTTTCGTTTTTATGTGTCTCCTGGCTAAAGGTGATGGAGATGCAGCTAATATCAGTGCATGGATCAAACATGTCGTCACATGGTGTCCTGTTAGCCATCGAAAGTCCCACTTCTAACCGAATACATCTTAATTGTTGTTTATACTAATTTGTTTTCCATTCTGTATTTTTAAATGTATGATAGTTATAGCACATATCACCATCAACTCAGAATCTTTCAACCTATTTTTGGTTTAAACAGGAGTGAATACAAACCTGTACATGTCACATGTTTTAATATTAAATAAATTCCCCTGAAACTGAAACTTTACATGATTTTATAAAATATGAGAAAACATAACAATGATTCATTTGCAAGGCACTCAATTAAAAAACACCTTTATTATTTAGTTGAGCAGCTGAGGAGCAAATAATGAAATTATTTCATTGTTTTAGATTTTGAACCTAAATGTGTGAGTTTGTGAAACAGTAGAAAGTTGTGTTTCAAATGTTGTCAAACCTCCAAGAGTTGAATAAACTAGAGCACTTAAAAAAGACAGGAGTGGAAACTTCAATTTCTGTTCAAAAACTAACACAAATTTCTTGTGCATAATCTTGGCCCGGCTTTCCTCACTGAGCTTCTTCACCCTTCCATACCTGATGGGTCTCTCAGGTGTGCAGCTCAGTTGCTCCTGGAGGTACTGAGATCTAGAAGGAAGCTCAGAGGGGACAGAGCTTTCTCTGTCGGGGTCCTAAGTTATGGACTGACCTGCCTTCACTGTCCACTTTTAAAGCTCGTCTTAAATCTCATCTATTTTACTTGGCTTTCCGCTCCAGTGAGATCTAGTTTTACATTGTATGTCTGTTTGCTTTAAACTGTAAGAGTTTTTATCTATTTTCTGTACAGCTGTGGTTGTTTTAAAGGGCTTTATAATTAAAGTTGGTATAATATGGTTGACTTCAATTGCATTGAAGTAGGCAGCAAGTGGGCTTTCATTTTCAAGTTAAGCCACCTGTTTTACATACTTTAATATTGACTTGTGTTCTTTGTACACATAGATACAGTTAGGGCCAGAAATATTTGGACAGTAACACAATATTTGTGAGTTGGGCTCTGCATGCCACCGCATTGGATTTGAAATGAAACCTCTACAACAGAATTCAAGTGCAGATTGTAACGTTTAATTTAAAGGGTTGAACAAAAATATGTGATAGAAAATGTAGAAATTGTACACATTTGTTTACAAACACTCCACATTTTAGGAGCTCAAAAGTAATTGGACATATAAACATAACCCAAACAAAAAAGTTTTTTCTCAATATTTTGTTGCGAATCCTTTGGAGGCAATCACTGCCTTAAGTCTGGAACCCATGGACATCACCAAACGCTGGGTTTCCTCCTTCTTAATGCTTTGCCAGGCCTTTACAGCCGCAGCCTTCAGGTCTTGCTTGTTAGTGGGTCTTTCCGTCTGAAGTCTGGATTTGAGCAAGTGAAATGCATGCTCAATTGGGTTAAGATCTGGTGATTGACTTGGCCATTGCAGAATATTCCACCTTTTTGCTCTCATGAACTCCTGGGTAGCTTTGGCTGTATGCTTGGGGTCATTATCCATCTGTACTGTGAAGCGCCGTCCAATCAACTTTGTAGCATTTGGCTGAATCTGGGCTGACAGTATATCCCGGTACACTTCAGAATTCATCCGGCTACTCTTGTCTGCTGTTATGTCATCAATAAACACAAGTGACCCAGTGCCATTGAAAGCCATGCATGCCCATGCCATCACGTTGCCTCCACCATGTTTTACAGAGGATGTGGTGTGCCTTGGATCATGTGCCGTTCCCTTTCTTCTCCAAACTTTTTTCTTCCCATCATTCTGGTACAGGTTGATCTTTGTCTCATCTGTCCATAGAATACTTTTCCAGAACTGGGCTGGCTTCTTGAGGTGTTTTTGGGCAAATTTAACTCTGGCCTGTCTATTTTTGGAATTGATGAATGGTTTGCATCTACATGTGAACCCTTTGTATTTGCTTTCATGGAGTCTTCTCTTTACTGTTGACTTAGAGACAGATACACCTACTTCTCTGAGAGTGTTCTGGACCTCAGTTGATGTTGTGAACGGGTCCTTCTTCACCAAAGAAAGTATGCGGCGATCATCCACCACCGTTGTCTTCCGTGGACGCCCAGGCCTTTTTGAGTTCCCAAGCTCACCAGTCAATTCCTTTTTCCTCAGAATGTACCAGACTGTTGATTTTGCTACTCCAAGCATGTCTGCTATCTCTCTGATGGATTTTTTCCTTTTTTTCAGCCTCAGGATGTTCTGCTTCACCTCAATTGAGAGCTCCTTTGACCGCATGTTGTCTGGTCACAGCAACAGCTTCCAAATGCAAAACCACACACCTGGAAACAACCCCAGACCTTTTAACTACTTACTTGATTACAGGTTAACGAGGGAAAGGCCTTTTGAGTTACTTGCAGCCTTTGGAGTCCATTGTCCAATTACTTTTGGTCCCTTGAAAAAGAGGAGGCTCTGCATTACAGAGCTATGATTCCTAAACCCTTTCTCCGATTTGGATGTGGAAACTCTCATATTGCAGCTGGGAGTGTGCACTTTCAGCCCATATTATATATAAATTGTATTTCTGAACATATTTTTGTCAACAGCTAAAATAACAAAACCTGTGTCCTTGTCCAAATATTTCTGGCCCTAACTGTACGTAAATATTCATCTTCTACTGCTGTCGTGTTTAATAATTATTTTCACATTAACCCATTTAATACCACATTTTTTCCTGCAAAATAAGTGCATGCATTTCAATCCTTGGTCCTCCCTAACTCATGATATTTATGAATTATTACATTTCATGCAACAATAGTGGCCGGTGGGAAGTTAGTCTAAATTACCCAAATGTGGCCTATTTATACATATTAAAAAATAAGAAAAATCATGACATGCATAACAGAGTACAACAAACAATGATTACAAGTGTCTTCAGAAATATTTTAGATACATAGAGATTCAATGCTTCGTCCTGCAGATGTCATTGCAATGGCAGAGTGACCTTTGACCTCATTTAGTCATTAATGAGGCAAAGTCAGGTGAAAATGTTAGTATGAACAAATCTGCATCTGGGAGGAAATTCTCATAGATCAGCAATTTTCTCTTTATCAGGAAATTATTTCGCAGAGTTTGGGTTATTGTCTCTTTTAACTGTTTGCTTGGATTAGGCTTAAAATGTGCAAATCCTCTATTTTCTATAATACAGCAGTGTGACCTCTTTCCAGGTTCGTGTAAACTCAAATGTAGGATTTCTCTCTTGGAAAGTTAAACAGGTTTTCATGTCCCTCGGAGGTCAGCTGCATAATCGTCACATAAACCAAATATAACAATGAAAAATGCATAAAATAAAATCTGGGCCCACAGATTCTAGTTTGCTTTACATGGAATAAAGAGCTTAACGTTTTCTCTTTTAATTTGTTCTTAAAACATGCTTTCAGTTAATCTGTAACATGAAGAAGTTTGGGTTTAATTTCTGTTATGCACTTCATGCTCAGTGTGTTTACATGTCTGTGTGATTGTGAATATTCATGGTATATGTACATGAACCTGTTTGTTTAAAGACTTTTTGAGTTGTAAAAATTCATAAGTAAAACAGGAATGGTGAAAATATTAATGTTAAGAATGATAGATAGAATTCTTAACATGCTACTGTTAATAATGATAAGAAGGACAATGAGAATGATTAAATAAGTTTTATTCACACCCATTTTTCCCAAGCTTTTTTTCCGTAATAAATGAAATCACCTTTTAAAAGCAGTTTTGTGATTTACTTTCTGTTTATGTCTGTTATAAAAATATAGTTTGATGATTTGAATAATTTGAGTTCGCCAAAAAAGCTGGAGAAAAAATCTGGCCTGAAGTTAATTTTTGTAGCACTGCACATATATTTACGATGCAATATTCATAAGAACAGAGAAAGTACAAGCATCAGAGGTCAACATCTTACAATAAAACACAAGTAAGAACACAGATCATTTTTAGCAGTACAAAAGACGTGAAGAGAGCTGTTTATATAAAATGTAGTTTACAGACATATAATTCTGATCCCTATTGCAAAAATCAATAACCAGATGGTATTTTCATTTATAAACCATTCTGACAGCATTTTAATCATAAATGTTCTTAATTTGTTATCAGTCTACATGTAGCCTTAACTTGCAAAGAATTGGCTGAGGAAGGTGTATCACTCATTAGACCTCAAACCTAAATATGTCACAACCGCAGTAACTCGAAAACAAATGAACAATTTGTACGTCAACCATCGAGTACGGTGCAGAAGGCAAGAAATTAAGACTCAACACAGGAACACTGAGGAACCCGGTAGGACTGTAAATCCAGGATACAAGGTATCAGTGAATGTGGTGTTGAAGGTGTGGATGTGGATTAGAGAGTCAGAGGAAACTTTGTAAAAGGACAGACTACCAGCAGTGTAGTCTACATAGACTGCTACTCTGTTAGAAACAGTGGGAAAAGAGGTTGATGACATGAGTTTCCTGTTCTTATAATGAACGGCGCTGTAACCGTCATCAGAGCAACTCAAACACCAGGAGTCTTCATTCTTTCCACTCACAGAGTCATTAGTGAGTCCTCTCCTTCGGAGTCCTCTATAACTTACTGATATCTCTATTTTTCCTCTCCACTCAACCTCCCAATAACAACAATCTTTGATACCATTTCCACACAGCAGCTGAGGAATATTTCTTCTGTCTAGATCATCAGTATCTGACTGAGCTTTCTGAATATTTGTCACCTTCCTGTCGTTGTTTGACAGCTGGAGGTTTTGGTTGATTATATCTCGGTCAAATGTCAGCTGACATGAATCTGATGGAGAGAAAAAACAATTTGAGTGCAGTTACTGGTTTATTATGTGACAAATTTATTGATACTTTGATATATGGTTGTGGATGAGTTGATTTTATGTCATGAATCAACAACAGAAACAAACTTACATCTAAATGGTCCTGGTTTTAAATATCGGTTACCAGCAGGCTCCACCCTGAAAGACAAAACGAATGAGTCAGCATTCTCAGTCAGCTGAGAATGCTGACTGGTAATGCTGACAATATATCTATTTATATATTTGCAGTTTTTTTTAAACTGAAAACATATATAAAAATGAATTATTTTTATATGTTTGTGGGTGTGTCCATAGCTGGACAATACAGTCCTCCTCGAGACTGTGAGCTTTCCTGTTTTTGTAGTGGCAGAAAAAAATCTGCTGCTTCAGTGACAAGTAGAACAAACCTGTCATCTTCAGCGGTCGGTTTAAGGTCTTGCCATACCTCAGTGTTTCAAGTCTCCAATGTGGATCTCTCTGTCCAGCCCAAAGCATTTTCACTCCTGAGTCACCTGGATGATTGTAGCTCAGATCCAACTCTCGAAGATGATGGGGGTTTGATTTGAGTGCTGATACCAGAGAAGCACAGCCATCTTCTGTGATCAGGCAGCCTGACAAGCTGCAATAACAGAATCAATAAACATAATTTAATATCCTGGTACTCCATCTTACAAAAGTATTAATACTCTATATAGTTTAGTGTTGGGTCGAATTTTGAGAGAGAAAGACTAAAAAACTCTACACTGCTGATTTATTTTGTTTTTGACAAAATCTACCCTTTATGTTCTTTGACAGAGTTTTATTTTCTAAAACTCTAAAATCTATTAGAGTTTTGTCTTTTATTTCACACTATTCACACACTGTTTGAGAAGACAGTATACTGTAAAACAATGACACATCACAAGTTCATTTGATCATTTTTCTTATGGAGAAATTGTTCATGTGAATTATTTTTTTCCAAAATGCCAGCCAGACATTTTGAGGCGTGGGAGTTTAAAGGGTAATCTTAAGACACACACTCATTTCTTTATACACTTTTTAGTTCAAACATTAAGTAAAACTGTGCTTTGAAATTTTTGAAGGAACAAGCAGGAAAAAGAAATTTCCAGTGTGTATTTACCATTTACACATTACATAAATGGTAAATACACAACATGTATAACATTTATATATGTTATAATATCTAACATTTAAATGTTATATGTTATACATAGAGAAGAAATCCTTCATGAACAGGAAGTCAGATCCAGGTTTCTGATACTTACATTAGTTTCTCTAGTTTGCAGTTTGGACTCTTCAGTCCATCAGATAGAAACTTCACTCCTGAATCCTTCAAACTATTGCCTTTCAGGTCCAGTTCTTTGAGACGTGAAGACTGGGACCTGAGAACTGAGGACAGAGCTTCAAAGCTTCTCTCTGAAAGGTTGCAGTTACTCAGTCTGAGGAATGACAACATAAATGTCATCAGAATTAACTTTTTGTCTAGACTAGCTGATTAGAAATAAAAATAAAATTACATTAGCATTGTGCTTCACATTTAGAATTATGAATGAAGTATGCAGTTTGGTTTAGTAAAATCTGTCTTAATCTCTTTTCCAATGACATGTTGGAGTTACTGCCAAAAAGTGTGCAGTTTTTTACAACCAACATTATGTTTTTAAACAGGCATGCCACTTAGAGCACACCATATAAAACCTTCTAAAGTAATCCTGCATGTAAACCTTCATGGGCTGAAGGTTCTCCATCGACAACACATGACCCAAAGCACAGCTAAAATAACAAAGGAGTGGATTTGCAACAACTTTTGTCCTACTAAAGAATGGCAAAGTCTTTATATCAATATGAATCTTTTGACAAAACTACCAATTTCAAAGCTTACAACAATGACTATATTAAAGTTCAATTAAATATGTTTTAATATCCTCCGATTTAATATAAATAGGCAAACATATTTCACAGATGAACAAAAACCGCCCACGTCCTCACAGAGCTTTGTTGGAGACTTTAACCACTGGCAGCAGCTTCAGAAGAACATCCTCTGAAGCTGAGTATTTCTTCAGATCAAACTCATCCAGATCTTCTCCTGATGACACCAAGATGAACCCCAGAGCTGACCACTGAGCAGGAGACAGTTTTCTGTGGAGAGACTTCCTGAACTCAGAGACTGTTGGATCTCCTCCACTAGAGAACGATCATTCAGTTCATTCAGACAGTGGAACAGATTGATGCTTTTCTCTGCAGACACATTTTCACTGATCTGCTCCTTGATATACTGAACTGTTTTCTGATTGGACTGAGAGCTACTTCCTGTCTGTCCCAGACCTTGCAGGAGTCTCTGATTGGTCTGCAGTGAGAGTCCCAGGAGGAAACGGAGGAACAAATCCAGGTGTCCATTTGAACTCTGTAAGGCCTGGTCGACAGCATTCTGGTGTAGAGATATTATTTTTGATTTGTGGAACAATGTAGGGACACCGATTGTTTTTCTTCCTCAGGTTGACCCCAGACTTAATGAAGGTCAGGTGAACATGAAGAGCAGCCAGAAACTCCTGAACACTCAGATGGATGAAGCAGAACACCTTGTCCTGGTACAGACCTCTCTCCTCTCTAAGATCTGTGTGAACACTCCTGAGTACACTGAGGCTGCTCTGATATCGATGCCACACTCTGTCAGGTCTGATTCATAGAAGATCAGGTTTCCTTTCTGCAGCTGATCAAAAGCCAGTTTTCCCAGAGACTTGATCATCTTCCTGCTCTCTGGACTCCAGTGAGGATCAGTCCTCCATCATACTTGACTGTCTTCACTTTGGTCTGAACCACCAGGAAGTGGATGTACATCTCAGTCAGGGGTTCTGGGCAGCTCTCCTCCCTCTCTGGTCTCCATCACATCCTCCAGAACTGTAGCAGTGATCCAGCAGAAGACGGGGATGTGGCACATGATGTGGAGGCTTCGTGATGTCTTCATGTGGAGATGATCCTGCTGGCCTCTTTCTTCTCTCTGAATCTCTTCCTGAAGTACTCTTCCTTCTGGGGGTCAGTGAACCCTCTGACCTCTGTCACCATGCCAACACACTGAGCAGGGATCTGATTGGCTGCTGCAGGTCGTGTGGTTATCCAGAGGAGAGCAGAGGGAAGCAGTTTCCCCTGATGAGGTTTGTCAGCAGAACATCCACTGAGCTGGACTCTGTAGCATCAGTCAGGATCTCCTTGTTGTGGAAGTCCAGTGGAAGTCGACTCTCATCCAAGCCATCAAAGATGAACAGAACCTGGAAGTGTTCAAAGCTGCAGATTTCTTTGGTTCATTAAAGAAGTGATGAATCAGTTCCACCAAGCTGAAATTTTTCTCTTTCAGCAGATTCAGCTCTCTGAATGTGAATGGAAATATGAACTGGATGTTCTGGTGGGCTTTGCCTTCAGCCCAGTCCAGAGTGAACTTCTGTGTTAAGACTGTTTTCCAATGCCAGCCACTCCCTTTGTCATCACTGTTCTGATTGGTTGATCTCTTCCAGGTGGGACTTTAAAGATGTCTTCTTGTCTGATTGTTGTTTCTGGTCTGTGTTGTTTCCTGGATGCTGTTTCAATCTGTCTGACCTCATGTTCATCATTGACCTCTCCAGTCCCTCCCTCTGTGATGAAGAGCTCTGTGTAGATCTGGTTCAGAAGGGTTGGACTTCCTGCTTTACTGATTCCCTCAAACACAGACTGGAACTTCTTCTTCAGACCAGCTTTAAGTTCATGTTGACCAACTGCAGTAAGATGTTCTGAGTGAAAAGAATTATTTATGGAAAGTTATTGATGGTCTACTTAATATATTATTCTATAGACATCAACACTAGATTGAATAAGTGTCTGAATTATCAGGTTAAATCTTGGTATAGATTCTCTTACTGCACTGGAGTCGCTCAACCAGCTCCTCCTGCTTCATCCTCCTCAGGAAGTTCATTGTGATCTTCATCACTGCCTCTCTGCTACTCTTCCTCTGCTCTTCATTCTCACCTTCCAACTCCTCATTGTCTGTCTCACAATCTGACCATTCTGGGTCTTCTGGACTCAAAACCTTCTGGATCTTCTTCAGCTCGTTTGTCACAAAAGTGAAAATGTTTTCCTTCAGTAACTGGAACAAAATAATAAATGAAGAAGTCAGGATAAAATCATGCAGCCAAATAGCTGTTATTTGTTGCACAGAGTGACAGTCCTATGTCTGTGCATTGTGGAGAACACTGTGCAAAGAATCCATGGAAAAATAGTTGTTGTACGGACCATAAATATAGAGTCCAGCTGCGTTTGATTTTGGTGGACAGATGGACCACTGGGAGTCTCTGATATCTTCTGGCTCATTCTGTGGATAAACCATGAAAAATTCACTCACATATTATCTAGCCACACAGACATGTGGACACACATTTTACTCACAACATCCAAATAATAAATGTCCATGAAGGGATATATGTGGGTGAACTGAATCAGATAACATTTTTTTGTGCTGAAGGTTTACCCATGTTGTTGATATTACAGATAATATCCACAATATATCATAATGTCACATTGAACGTAAAACCACAGGGGAAAGGAATTATTGAATGAAATCTTATTTCTATCATGATTTTATTGTTGTTTCCATATTAGTTGAAATAAACATTCCTCTACATACTCTGGAACAGTGACCCAATCAGAGTAAGATAAGTCCAGGTCAAATATTTCCCTTTAACAAGAAAAAAATGTCTAATAACTCAACGAGGCCCAAAATCAACAAGACCAGAGCTGTTCAACATGATATAGAAGCATCCAGGACGCCTCCAACAACATCTGTTCATTCCACCTGGTCAGAACAAAAACATTCAGGCTGAATCAGTGGTCATAGTTGCAGCAGTTAGAAACAGCTCACCTCTCTGGTGGTGGAGGATGATCTGATTTAAAATCAAACCACATATCCTTTGAATCATGGCTTTTGTAGGACAGGTCCCTGGATTTATCCTCGTTTTTAAGTGTGACTTTCTCCATCCTAAGAAAAAAATATAAACATTAAAATAACAGAAAACTTTTATAGTGGGCAGGGCTTATCATTTCAAGAAGCTATGATTAAAATTACTAAAACATAATTTGTTAGTGTTGCTGTTAAGTGCATGTAAGTTCTTTTTAAACAGAGAAATTGGACAAAGTAAAATTTTCTATTCTGTTTGCAAATACAGAACGATACACAATAACTGTGCAGAAATTATGCACTACACAATTTAACCACATGTAGCTTCACTTTTTTATATTTCCACAGTGCAAACAACAGTATCTATTTAAAATTCACAGTTTTGTGTTCACATACTAAATTCATATTGTCATGAGCAAACAGATCCACACAGTGAGCCAATCAAATCCTGTGTAGTAGTCTATACCCTATACCTGTGCTACATATTGCTTTGTTGAAATTCTTCTCAGTGGTCATCAGGTGGGAAAAAGCTGGAAATGTGTTGGAAGTTGGTGATTTTGTCCTGTGGGTCCTGCTGGAACCCACAGCTCTAACCACAGGCTGCTGTCACTCTGCTGCTTCTGCAACATGGACCTGCTGGCTGGAAGAAACACTGATACCAGGCTGAGCTGCTCTGTTCAGGCTGGATGAAGCAGCAAAGAGGAGCAGCAGCTTCATCACCGTTTGGGCCTGATGCAGTTTGAACGCTGTGTGAAAAGGACACTGAGAGATGGTGACTCACCTCTGACCTTTGCTCTGGCTCTCATCTTCCCCACACAGAGAGGTTTTAGAGGGAGGGACTCCCTCCTCTCTGTCCTCACACTGATCCATGCTGCTGAATCCACTGCAGCTCTTTCTACCTTCAGCTGCTGCACTTCTACTGTCAGGCCACTAGATAGAGACATTGAGCAAAGTTTTCATTCTTCTCAGTGGTCATCTGGTGGGAAACAGCTGGAAATGTGTTGGAAGTTGGTGATTTTTTTTCTGTGGGTCCTGCTGGAACCCACAGCTCTAACCACAGGCTGCTGTCACTCTGCTGCTTCTGCAACATGGACCTGCCAACAGGTCCATGTTGGCATACTGGAAGCATCAATCCAACACATTTACTCAGTTCAACTTTTGAAAACATCAGACTTATTTTTACTGGCTAGTTTTCAGAGAATTTCAAATCAAACCAAGACTCATTTTAGATCTCAGCTGCTGGGAGGAGTTGAATGAACAAAATAACATTTTTAACTCTACTTTCACTATGAGAAAAAACTGAAGCTAGATCAAACTGAACTCCTGAAAAATGAAGAAATTGAGGACAAGCAGAAAGAAAAGGAAGGAAGTTATTAAGATTTGTGCTGAAACCAGAGGTGAACATGTTTTCCAGACACCAGAGAGCAGAAACAAACCGGACAGAGAGTTAAGACACATTTCAATTATAAAACAAAGCAAACTTACAGTTTGTTCATATGGCCCAACGAGTTGAAGTGTTGACCCAACCGACTGTGACAGAGTTTAGCTGCTTCCTGAAATCAATTGAAGCTGCACCTGTAATGTAGGCGGGTCAGGTAGGAGGGGTAGCAGGTTCGGTCAGATAATATCAAAATAAAAAAAAGACATCTTGAAGTTTTTCTGAGCACCAAAAACACACGAAAAATAGAATGTCATTGTGAGTTTAGTAAATTTTAATAGCGCAGATGAAAACTTGATATGAAATGGTTCATGATGGAATGATGAAGTGATTAGAGCTTTCGGTTGCTTCTTGCCCAGTGAACAGTACATGCTCTGACTGGTCAGACTGGTCTAACTGGTGAGTCAAAGAAAAAAAATCATGTGATGACGTCTGAAGATATGAACCTTTCACATGACTCCCAGGGTGAACAGAAACTAAAATTTTATTTAATTATTTTCCTCATCCAAATTTAGCTCTGAAAGCTGAACTAATAATCATTTAAATAGGAACCAACTGGATTCTTTATTAGACGGCAGATTTGTCTCCCTCTGGTGGTACAAACATCAACTATTTGATGTCGGTGTAGTAAACCGATGCCGCTTTTTTCTTTTTTTATATAAAACTAAGTACTTCAGCCAACATCTCCTTAAGTGGAACATAACCTCTTCCACTTAATATAGTTATAGCAATAATAAAATGAGCATTATATATTTGAAATTAGAAAAATGCAATAAACATCACAAAAATAAAAAAATAAATGTGTTTTAAAGGTTGTTAGTCATTTAACAGAAACTAAACAAATTTATGGAAGCAACATTACAGACAGCAAATTACATGGTCAATTTGTTTTGAAATAAATCTAATTTATTAGATATGACCGAACATTGAGGAAATACCATCTTTTTCTATAAGGCTGTCACCAGATATTCAGCACAACCAGCTTATGCCTCTTGCCTCAATATTTAAATTCAAAGTGATTCAATTTTTTAAAAACAGAATTAAAACATCATCCCACCTTTGTTAGCTAGTTATGGCCAGTTCAAGGTTCCAAAGCAGCTTTTTCAATGGGAAGATCAACAGTTTCTCCAAATGCCTCATGTTTTCAGGTCATCACTCTGACCTGACTTTAAGTTAAGTTTTTAACCTTAAATCAAGATTAAAACTCATCTGATTAGAGTTGCTTTTGATTCACAATAACTGGAACATTGATCTGTGTATGTGATATATATTTGCTTGATGATTTTGATGATGGCATTTGACGAAATGTAATGTTTCTTGATGTTTCATATCTTGTTTCTGTATTATGATCTATGGTGTAAAGCACTTTGAACTGCCTTGTTGCTGAAATATAAATTCACTTGACTTGACATAAGTTAACCTAGATATCACCAAAAGGGAATTAAATAAACACCCCCTTTTCTATATGAAATGTTTTTTATCCCCATAATGGGTATTTAATTGTCTTTTGTCCATTACTGATGGGTTTTAAACATTGATCTGTATATTTGATGTATATTTGCTTGATCCCCTAATCAATAACTCACATCTCCTGATCCCTTCGACAAGCCAAAGCTGTTTGTAGCCTAAATAGAAAGTAGGTTGAACAGACCCTGATTGAACTATAAATAATTCTCAATCAGTGATTTTCCTCTGCTGTTAACTTCTAATCAGTTTCACCACTCAGAGTAGACACCCATAAACATTTCTGTAATTCACTTTGGGTGAGGCCACCAGCCAACAATAAGCATTATCTGACTTACCCAACGTGTTTCACCACAGGGAGAAGCAGCTTAAGCAGAATATTATCCCACAAATCTATATTTCAAACAACTGACTACCTTTTACCTAAAACATTCACCAATTACTCTTTACAAAACATATTAAATATAAAATGCACCTTTTAATTAATGACCACTTATGTTTATTACATGTGTCTAGGGTTACCTAGGAGATGTTATTTTTTTTCAAACACTTTGGATAATTACATATAGGACACTAAGAAATCTGCAGAGGTTAAATATAAACTATTTAGAAGTTACAGAGTCATATACAAAAACCTTTCAGCATGGAAACCCGTGGAAATATATCAAGTCACCAACTCTGCAATAATTTGTTCTCCTGAATGAGCATACTGAGCGTGCATGATGTGACTATAATAGGACAACTCCTCTTCATCAGGAAGGATGCTGCTTGTGTTTGTTTAGTGTTGCCAGGTTCAGCACCAGGGCAGTTTAAGATGACAGAGCAGAAGCAACAACAAGATCCAGCAGTTCTTATCCAAGAGTAATTTTTCTAAGTTGAAAAAATAGCAGAAAGTTAACAGTAACATCAGTTGTTTAGTTCTTTCATTTAGGAGAGAAGCATAGCTGAACAGAAATACTTGAATTGAATTGAAATACTTCATTATTCCTGAGGCACAATTTGCTTGCAGTACTTTCCAAATTCCACACAAAACAATTTTACTCACAAGAACAAAGAAAAGAAGAAAAACACACATTTAAAATATTACATCAGTACTCCAAGAATTACAAAAATCTAGAATTATGTTGAACTCCACTGCACTGAGAAGATCAACTTGTTAGGTGATAGAAATTAGGTTAGATTCTATAATACTGATCTGTAATGACTGAATACACTCAGTGGTGTACTGAGTGGATAACAGCAGTAATTACTGGAGGAAGGTCTGTTAAATCACAGTGCAGCTTTTTTGATCTGCACTGATAGTAAAAGAATGCTCAAACAGTTGCCAGTTATCTCTGAAGCCCATTTTAAGCTCAATACAAGAAAACTGCTTAAATATGAGGTGTGTACAATTGGATTAAAAATCCCTCAAAGTTCTTTTTAAAGAGTTTTAAAAAGCTCAGTATGTAATAATATGGTACATTTTCTGTGGAATTACACATTGTCAAATTATTTTTCCCAGAAATTTAGACAGAATAAAAATTAGATTCAAAAGTGACTTATATTGTTTCAACATAAATTGATTAGCTTTATTTATTGAGATTAGCTAATTTGTACTGAACATTTCAAAAGTTAAAATCTACATAAGTACATTTCTGCACTTTCATTAGCTGAATGGTAGATATTAAAATAATATAAAAAATGGGGAAAATCCATTTGAAAATAAGAAAACATATAAACAAGGGAAAAAGCTGACACATTTAAACAACAGAGTAGGACTATATCATTAATATTTTTTAATTCAGTACATCTGTTCTCTAACATGGGTACATCAAAAATGTAATTTTCTCCCTTTTTTCCACACTTCATTTCTCCAATTAACGGTACTAATCTGTCTTACTTTGTTTTTGCAGGTAAATACATATCAGTAAAATTCTTGAAGCAGTTTACAGGGACACAAAATTATACATATTTTTAGAATCAAAACCAGACTTGCATAGGATTGAACATAGTCATTCAAGAACACATTGACATTCTGATGAAGGCAAGCTACTGGTTTATAGCCGCAGTTACAGACTCACTGCGCCCCAAAGATGATGTCATCAGCCTTTCTGAGCAATGGCAGCAGCCAAAGTGGGTCAAATGTCTTTTCCAAAGAATAAGAGAGGCACATAGAGTGGAAATCAAACCAGCAACCCCCCATTGTTTCAATATTGTTCTACCATTGTTCCAACATAGCTATATAGAATATTAAGCATCTTTTAACTGCATTAATTGTGCTGTGATATACTGAAGTACATGTTATAATCAGAAACATTTTCAAAATATGTGTATGAGAAAGTCTTAGATGTCCATGATTAATTTCTGTGTAATAAAATAGGATCAGTCATTTTGAGTAAATAAATTGTGCAACTGAATCCTCTTGGTTAAAGTTATAGTGAAAGAGTCTCAACCACTGAGGCAGAAAATATTTAGTGTGTAACGGACAGAAACAGAACGTCTCCATCCAAGAATAATTCTACTTTCTGTGTGTCTGTTTTCTCAGAGACTCTTTAACCTCAACATAGAAAGACTGAGGAATCAGGAAAGATTCTAAATCCGGGATAAAGAGGTTCAGTGAATGTGGTGTTGAAGGTGTGGATGTGGATCAGTGCGTCAGATGAGACTCTATAAAAAGACAAAATCCCAGCAGGATGGTCGACATACACTGCCACTCTGTTAGAGACATAGAAGGTGGAGAGGGGGGAGGAGGAAGAGGAAAAGATGATGGGTGTTTTTTTGGCTTTGTGCCAGACAGAATAACCTTTATCAGAGCAGAACAGACTCCAGGACTGGTGATTCCGTCCAAACCAACAAGCATCACTGTATCCTCTAATTCTAATTCCTCTATAGCTCACAGAGATATCCACTTCTCCTTCACCTCAACCTCCCAGTAACAACGACCAGTCAAACCAGTTTGACAAAGCAGCTGAGGGACATCGAATCTGTCTGGATGATCAGGATAAGCCTGATGGTCCTTCACACGTGTAACCTTTGTTGTTGTTGTCAGACAATCTGAGCTCTCTGTTCACGGTGTTTAAGTCGATTGTGAGTTGACAAGAATCTGATGAAGAGAATAAAGACAACCCAGTTACTGATGATTGACACATTTGAGACCTGAAGAACTAAAAATGGTTGGATGTGAGCTGCTTTGTTGTTATTCATGAAATGACAAACATACTTACACTTCCTCAGATCCGGTGTTAACCACTGGACTCCGGAAGGGTCCACTCTGAAAAGGCAAATGAGGGTTGAGAGGTGAGAACATCGGGCAAAATAAAAAAATACTTTTTATTTGACACTTAACTATCAAGAACTACAAAAATTAAAATATTAAAAATCACATAATAAAAATAATTTAAAAGTGAAGAAATAGATATAAAAACAAAGATTTACATAATACCTATTGAAATTACATATGACAGCGTATGTGACTAAAATTATTTAGTAACTACCTAAAAGACTGTTTTTCCTAAGAGAGTAGCTTGGTTCAAAATCCAACTGCTGTGACTCAGGACTGCCAGCAGACAGACAAACCACTCATGGACACTAATGTTGCTCATCCCTCTAGTTGCAAATGGGACTCCACATGTGGAAACTTATGAGTCACAAAAAATATGAATATCCAGGAAAATAAAGAGAAAAAGACAAAACAGAGCTTGCTTTTTGTTTTTCTCTTCTATTTAATACTCTATGTCAGTTGTCCCCATACCTTAGAGTGTTTAATCTCCATTGTGAATCCTCCAGTCCAAACGACAACTGTTTCACTCCCAACTCTCCTGGACAATTGTAACTCAGGTCCAGCTCTTTCAGATGAGAATGGTTCATAGTCAGAGCAAACGCCAGATGAGAAAAGCCTTCGTCTGTGATCAAACAGCCCGACAAGCTAAAAACAAACAATAGCTGTTTTTCAAAAAAGGTTCAGGTTGAATCAAATTTCTACAAAGTTAGCTTTTTTAAATAAGAAAAACTAATAAATAATTGCAACTGAAAAATAAATCCAATGTGGAATGATCCTAAAATCAGAAAATCTTGAACATTTCTTATTGATAATAAACACACTGTATAAACATGGATACATATAGCGGCTACAATTTTGTAAACTGACTGTACCGTAATATGCTTATCCACATGGCTTCATGTGACAATGTTTGTTTTCAAACATACAATAAGTATCAAAGAAGCAATAAGTAAAAATAACACCTACAGGTGTTTATGAAAAAAGGTAAACATGTAAAAGTTCTTGTATGAGAAACCAATAAAGGCAATGCAGCTTATTTAGTAGGGTCATTTTATAGGGGATAAATTATTTTTAGAAATAATTTTCCTGACAGTCAGGTTCTTCCTTACTGAAGAACCTGACAACACAATGAAGGCACAACAAATGGTACTCTGTAATCCAAGTAGCTTTCCTGACCAGCATTGTGCAGCTCAGCAGTAAGTGTTGAATTGAACCAGTAATTTCTTTTGTAAAATATTTTGTTTTGTATTTCATTTATCAAACTGTATGAGGAGATGTTGAAATGTGAGAATGAATGTCTTATAAACCAATGTCAATGCATTTTTAATAATCAAACACTCCTAGGTTTCTCAGCAGGTGTATAATTTGATAAGCTTTTCATAAATGAGGTCACATGCAGGAAGAAGGAGTCAATTATCCATTTCTTTACTGAGGTATTTAAAGATTTTAAGCAGCTCCACTGATACTGGATAACCAATTACTTAACAAGACACTCCAAAATGTCATCCTTGTCCATACAACACAACTTTTTTCTTTTGGGGATATTTTCAACACGAGTCCTGTACAAAAGTTTGGGCCAAGTTGCTAACCACATTCCCATATCGGATACATTTAGAAATGGAAGGAAAAAAAATTGTAGCTTACTTGAGAATTTCTATTTTGCAGTTTGGACTCTCCAGTCCAGCAGAGAGAAGCTTCACTCCTGAATCCTGCAGGTTGTTGTTACTCAGGTCCAGTTCTGTGAGACTGGAGGACTGGGAGCGGAGAACTGAGGACAGAGCTTCACAGCTTCTCTCTGACAGGTTGCAGCAACTCAGTCTGAAGCAGAGTATAAAAATGTTAACTAATTTATTTTGAATCAGTTTTTTCTAGCTATTTGTATTGCATAGCCTCAGTTCCCAATTGATATCCTCTAAAGACACTTTGCAAAGAAATAATCTGATCAATGCAGTTACATAGGCACATTTAAGTCTTGCAGTTCAGCCAAATTCAATTGTTCAAACATAAAAATTTTAAGTAAACTGAGTTGATTCCATTGAGTCACTAACTACAGCAGTCACTCCCTCAGACTGAGGATGAAGTGACAGACAGGATCTCAGTGATGGTCGACTTCACTGAGTCAATCAAGCAAATAGCAG